GTAACTATGTAAACATGTGTTTACATATGTTAGCTTCATAAGGTAAGTATCCTATACATATATAGGTTATGTATGTGTAGGAGTCTTTTAATTTAGTTTAGTTTTCTTTATTGTTTTTATAAATAAAAAACTAACCTTCTGTTTTACTTTGTTATTCTCAGAAGTTTGCTCAGTTCGTCATCATCAAAAAGGGACAACTTGTTGATCCTTATGAGGTTTTGATGATGATGTTAAGAATTGAGCAAACTTCCATTTAATAAGGATTTTCTAGTGTTGTGATGTTTGCAGGTTCAGTAAGCGTTGAGGGCTGAAGTAGGAATTGAAACAGAGGAACTTTAGAGGATCCATGAGGATACAAGTAAATTTAGAAGAAGAGTTCCAGAAATGGAACTTCCAGAAGTTTCTTAACAGGAACTTCAAAACGGGTTGTAACGACCTGGTTTCGGTGTAATGCTGGGGAAAACCCTAAGATCCAGAATATATCAAGACTACAGGATTCCAGAACAAGAGTTTCAGAGAAGCAACATGAAGACAGAGAAATAGAAGTATATTGCTCTAGGATTCATGTAAGTATGTTGGACATAAAAGTCGGTCTGGAACAAGTCTATATAGAACCAAGGTGAATTCCAAACAGTCAATGAAATTAGAGTAACTGACTTGTCAGGAACTCAGAGACTGTCAGAGTTCAGGAACCTAATAGGAACTTAAGTATGAACGTCGTTAAAAGTCGGTTTTAATGATATATATATTTACCTTATACGTGCATATCTTTTAGGGATTTGGTTTTACTGAATAAAGATATTTATCTTCTAATAAATCCCTTTTGGAAAAAGATAAGATTGTTTAAAAAGTATTTTAAACAAAAAGATAAGTTTTGAATAAAATCTGATTTTATGCTAAGTTTATCTTATTATTATTGACAGTTTTTATTCTTAACAAAAAGGTATATTTTCGGAAAACTGATTTTTAGAAAATATCTTTTAAACTTATCTTTTCAGAAAATCTATCTTTTTCAAGATGAAATGAATAATTCGAGTGTACTATAAATATGCTCATATGCATTCATTCAAAGTTGAGGCTGACGAAGTGTAGTGGTCGTGCTTAATGGTTTTATCCTTCACCACGAAGCTAAGTCAGTCCTCCTGGTCAAAGTTCCTATCAGGTTTTTGGTTACAATACGTCTAGTGAGTTCCAGACAGATCTTGAGTGTTCAACATATTAGTTTTATACATTATATCTTTTATATGTATTTGAGAGTTGTTTAAGGGTTTGAGTGAACTCGTGTAATGGGGAATTAATAAGGGTTTGAGTGAACTCTTGTATTAGGGTGAGAACTTGAGTGAGTTCTTTGTATGTAGAGAAGGCTTTGAGTGAAGCTTGAGAGAAAGAGAAAGAGTAAGGTTTTGAGTGAAGTCTTGAGTGAGAAGAGAGGTCTTTGAGGGAAGATTTCAAGCTGCAACTATTAGAGGGAATAGTTGTTGGGGATATGAGTTCGTTGAGGAACTCGGTAGAGGCTCAAGTTCCTCATAGGTTGTAACAGAGTCGTTGGCCTATTTTAGTGGAATGTTTTGAGTCAAAATCCCTTTGGGTCGAGGTTTTTCACTTCCTATTTGGCCTAGGAAGCTTTCCTCGTAAAATCTCTCTCGCACTATTTCTCTATTGCGTTAAGTTTCTTTTAATTCCGCAAAAAGTGACTAGCAATCTCCATACTACAATTCACCCCCCCCTCTTGTAGTATATCATCCGAAATAACATTTAGCCATCCTCCAAACTTCAGTTTCAGTTCATCATCATCTCTACACCCGTCATAATCTTTCACCCCATGGCCTAGCTTACCACAGAAGAAGCAAAAAAGTGGTGGTTTCTCATACTTTACATAAAAAAAAAACTCTTTTGCTCCCCCTCTCATCTTTACCTTTACCTTCAAAAGTAAGGGCTTGTTCACATCAATCAGAACCCCAATTTTCACTGACTTGTTCATCATGTACACGATCCCCAAGTGAACTGGATTCCATAGCCATGATCAAAACAAAAGAGCAAAAGAAAACCCTAAAAAACCTAGGCAAAATCCTCCCAAGGAAACCTAGAGGGAACTCGATTACTCACTCTATCTTGTGAAAACTGTTCTAATTTAATTTCTAATAAGCATGTTTTAGGCAAATTTCATATAATTAAATAGCTTTGTAAATTGTAACCTTATCTAAATTATAATCTAAACTTATTAGATATTTGTTTATATGTATATGTATATCATATATGTTAAAATAGAATTTTTATTTATTTATTTATTTTTATTATTTTCTTATTTATATATATGATATAAGTAAAAATAAGGTGATACATAGGTGACTTTAAATTGAAACACCGAAAATATTCAAGTACGAAGCATAAACTTTTGCTAGTACTTTTGCGGTCGACCATTACTCTAGCTCTGGTTGGGCCTAGCCGCCTAGTTACGTGCTTGCATATGTATTTTGTCAGCAAATTTAGCCTCATGCAAGCCATTAACATATTAAATTATTCAATTATCAATATTAATAGGGGCCAATTAAAATGACCGATTTTAAATCTCCACTTAAGCAACATGCCTATCTCAATAATTATTTCATTGTTGCACATTGAATACTTTCTATATGTGTGTTCATCTAATTGGTAAGTTAAAATAGTTTTGGTGGTTTTTTACTGACTTTTAATTATTTATTTATTATTTTGGGGCCGACCAAGACCCTTAAAGTGCCTTGCCTTGATAACTACTCCCTCGTTTATTTACATGCAACACTTTGACCCACGCAGAGTTTTATGTGATTGAGTTAAATTTATTAAATATTATGTTATATTAGGGTTTTTTGAAGAGTAAAAATACGTTTTTGGGATTCACCTTTCATACTTTTCATCATTTAAAGACTCACTTTTTATTTTTCATCATTAAGCCACTGTTGGTCACTGAAATTAAAAACTTCGCCCACTTAATTACAAAACTATACTACTTCCTAAATGTGTTTTAATTACAACTGTCACCACAGGGAAGTGTCTAATAGCCTCCAAAAATTCTTAACATATAATTAATGAAAGAGTTATTGGCTCTACTAAATAATTACTTTGCTTTAATTTCCAGAGACATATTTAATTCTTTTTCACAAACAAAATACTCAATCTTCTCCAACTCGGATTATTTCAATCTTGCCTAAGTAGAAAAAGAATTAAAAAATTCTACTTAAAGCCTGAAAAGTTCAGAATTTCTTTTAAAAAAAATAATAGGTGTAATTGTGTGAGTGAGTAATATGAAATTTTAAACACAATAGACCAATATAATAGTGGAACGATTTTCATGGATAATATGAGAAGAGAACAAAATTCCATAAATTCGCTATATTTTAATAAAATTTCCGATGTATCGTCCATGTCAGAAAGTGTAGTTATTAAATTTTTTTTGCCAAATGTAAACCAAAACCGCAAATTGAAGTAGCGATTTCATATAATGTTTTATGTACTGTAATATTGATTGGCTTGCTCGAGTAAATGGGTGAAAAAATAAACCGCTAATTGAATTAGCGGTTTAGTTTAATGAACCGTAATTAGCGGTTTCAAGCTTTTTATTTTTTTTAAAAACATCAAGTTTACAAAAGATGATGTGGACAATACGCCGGGAATTTTATTAAAATGTAGCATATTTATGGAATTTTATTTTCTTCTAACATTATCTATGGAAATCGCTCTAATAGTGCTTTAATTAAAAAAAAAAGAAATTATATTGTAATACATATTCAATTACAGTAGGAAAATAAAAGAAATAAAACATATGAATAACACAAATATACGTATAGAATCTTTTATCATAAAATTAGGAAGACACTTTTTAAATTTCAATATGTATGCATATTTAATTTTAATAGTAATAGAAAAATTTATATGTTAAGCAGAGATTATAGCTGAACTGTGTAAATGACATCAAAATATACCGTAGCCTTTTTTAACGAACCCACATTAACATTATCAATGATGCCGTTGTAAAACAATAATAAATATTAAATTAAAAAAAAAAAAAAAAAAGCAATTTCTTCACCAAAATTCTTTTAATATCCACGGATAGTCCTGAAAAATGAAAGGTGAATCCGCGAATGATAAAAACTATGAAAGATGAGTCCCTAAAAATGTATTTTACTCGTTTGTTGGGGAATAAAAATGATTAAAAGTGATAGTGAGTGAATAGTTTATGTAAAAGTAGAACATTAAAAAAAAAAAACTTCCTCTCGTTATTTTTAGTTGCCACCTTTTATTTATGACGCTTGCAAATGCACAATTTTAACGATTATATCTCTAATTATCAATATTGTAAATTATAAAAAGTGAATATTTATAAACGTGAAAGAACCACTTGACACTAAAGTATAGTCGTGTCGTATTGATTCATTTACTTAAACGTGTAAGAACCACTTGACACTAAATAATCCCCTTTTTTCGTGCTCGGTTGATGTCTTACTATATGAAAAAGTATCAACCTCATTCAATATATTTATCATGAATACTACATATTGTTGTTTTTTTAAGGGAGCTAGGTTGCGTGTTGAAAAATCTCAACACTAATCAACCTGTTTAATAAAACGTATCATGTCGTGTTGACCCATTTAATTAACTAATGTATCGTAAATCCTTAACACTAATCTAATTTTTTTCGGTGTTCGATTTGTGTCATATTGTCATATCGTGTCAACTTTTGCCGATTTTACCTTCAATGAGTGATTTTTTTTTTTTTTTTTTTTAGTGTTCCTTCTAAAGTTGTTAAATTTATCTTGATTCTTGATACATACTACCAAATTACCAATACCAAACATGTGTTCTCAATGCAATAGATTCGACGTACCATGTGCTAAATGTGATGACAAGTTGATAACCCTACTTTTTTGGAGCTAGTTATTACTTACTAAGTTACTAGTACTCTGATTGGGCCTACGTACAAAAATTTGTCTTTATTCTCTACATACTCTCTATATAAGAGAACTATAAAACATCCTTTACATATAATTCTTAAAACCATTTTAAACTCATCTCAAAATATTGCTACATACTTATCATAAATGGATACTCTTAACTTCCAAAAGAAAGAAGAAGAAGAAGAAGAACAAGATGAAGAAGAGTTCCTAGGCATAACGCAAAATTGCAAGGAGCTACTTTTATCCCTTCCTAAAGTTAAAGGATGGAGAACTCCAATGCTCTACCTTTTTCAAAGTTTTTGGTGTCAACCCAAAGAAATTCAAGCCATAATCTCAGCTCAAACCCACTTTGAAGCTCAAGATAGTGATGTGATCGTTGCCACTATTCCGAAATCCGGCACTACTTGGTTAAAAGCTCTTGTTTTCGCGGTAGTGAATCGACGTCGATTTGATGTCAACTCCATAGAACATCCCTTGCAAAAGTCTAACCCACATGACCTTGTACCATTCTTAGAATACAAGGTTTATGCAAATAACCAAGTTCCAAATTTATCAAATCTTGATTCTCCAAGACTTTTTGCATCTCATGTCCCTTACAATTCCTTGCCTAAAACCTTGATTAAGAACTCTAATTGCAAGGTTGTTTACATATGTAGGAACCCTTTTGACACTTTTGTGTCAATTTGGCATTTTATAAGTAAAATTAGGCCTACTAATCTTGGGCCTTTCTCATTAGAAGAGGCCTTTGATATGTATTGTATGGGTCAAGTAGGATATGGTCCATATTGGGATCATATGCTAGGTTACTGGGAAGAAAGTCTAAAATCACCTCAAAAGGTTATGTTTTTAAAGTACGAAGATTTGAAAGAAGATATTAATCTTCAAGTTATGAGATTAGCTGAATTTTTAGGTTGTCCATTTTCAGCACAAGAGGAGAGAGATCATGTTGTCGATGAGATTACAAAGTTGTGTAGTTTTCAAAATATGAAGAATTTTGAAGTTAACAAAGATGGAAAATCTATACTAAATTTTGATAACAAGGGCTTATTTAGGAAAGGTGAGGTGGGGGATTGGGTTAACCTTCTAAGTGAGGAAATGGTGGAAAGATTGAGTAAAATCATGGATGAAAAGTTGGCTGGTACTGGCTTGGAATTTCCAAACATATTCAAGTCTTAGTGTTTTATGGTTTATAATTTGTGAGTGTATCTTTTGAAAATTTCCTTAATATATGTTTGTAATATAAAGTACATAGGCTGTCTTCTCTAATGCCCTATTTCACCTTTATATGAACTAGTTTTGGGTTCAAAAGATGTCATGTATTGTTGATTTGATTTTGGAATTAATATTTTGACTCAAATGCCAATCTATTTTACTTATGGTTGTCATGATCTTAGTTACTTATATGCATTTCTCTCTCTTTAAAAATAATGTAGTACTTTATTAGTTTTAGTAGAAGTATAATAAATATTTATGCCTTTAACTAATTATATTCATAACACAATCCAACATCATTGGTTTTACCCCAAAATAAAAGAAAAAAAGAATGTTACGACGACTTTCTCTTCTTTTCTTCTCTCGCCAAGTGGAAAGGATAAGATCGAACTTAGTACATGTTTATCTAGTCATTTTTCGAATGACCCAGAACTTTTAATGATACGAAATTTAAAAAGCACATTGAAAAGTTTGAACAAACAAATGAGTAGCAAAAAAATAAAAAAAAAGGAAAAAAAATAAGAGCATGAGTGTGTAATGAACTGTCATTGAAATAATACGTGCTTCCCATAATGTCATTTGCCGTACTTTTTTAATCTTTAAGGGATAAATTAACAACAATTAGAAGCTAGACTAGCTTAACTTTATTCAATTCTTTTCCCCTTTGTTTATGAGGATACATTTGCTTCCATGTTTCAATAATTAATTTGACGTATTATTGTTTCATCCACCAAATTTCCACAAAAATGGAAGCCAAGGTTCTATTATTCAGCACAATCTTGATCTTTGCCTATGTCTCTTTTCCAGTCTATTCATGGGTAAGAATCAAAATTTTTGTTTGTTGTTAGATGATCTTTCTTGTTTTTGTTCTCTTTTGATTGATTTAGTTGATCACGATTCACGAGTTAGCAAATACTTGGTATTATTTAGTTGATCTTTAGGGTTGACAACATGCAAAAAAGATAAAGCAACAAGGGTAACAAAAGCAAGAAGTAGAGATAGAAAATACAACATTTTTTTCACGAAATTAAGACTAGCAATAACTTGTTATTATGATAAATATTGATAATTTAGTTACACTCCATAATCCAATCTAATTCAAAGTTGCAATAATTACTAACGTTGATCTATGTTAGTGGACTGGTTGAGGCCCGTGGATATGTTTTTATACTTTACACATTTAATTAACCTAAAATACGTAATTTGTTCAATTCTTTCAGGATGATGATGAATGCACCTACGTAATTTACGTGCAAACCGGCAATGCAAAAAGCGCAACAACGTATGCTAAAGTAAACCTTGAATTACGTGACAAATATTTCAATCGTTTAAACATCACAAACCTTCAATCTTGGGGGATTATGAGCAAGTATCATTACTATTTTAAAAGAGGAAATTTGGATACCTTTGCTGTGAAAGGCAAATGCTTAAAAGGTCCAATTTGTAGCATGACATTGAGTCATGATAACACCGGCGTATCTCCCGGTTGGTACGTGGACTATGTTGAAGTTACGTCTATTGCACCAAGTCGGGGTTGTCGAAAGATTAATTTTCCGGTTAATGCGTGGTTGGCCATCAATGAGCCACCGTTTGGTACCGCTAGTCGGGGTGTGTATTTGTGTGATGATATTATTGGTGATGATGGTAAATGCTCCTAGCTAGAAGATTTTGATCCTCTAACTTGGTTATGCTACAATTAATATAACTTGTAGTGCATTATTGCTTAGTTATTGATTGAGTTTTACCCTTTGGCTGTTATTGGAATGTGAGATGAAAATGAGAAATTTGTTGTCTTGGGATATTTTTCTATTTCAAGTGACTAGATTAATTTGGTTATTTGACACGCATAGTAATTTTCACTGTTTATAACTCTTTATGTTCAATTTAATTTGTTACATTTTTGAATCCTCAATTTGAAGAGAGAAAATTTTACATATAGAAGATCTATAACCAATAATTAATTTATAATTTATGAGCTTTTATCTAAGAACTTGCTAGATCAGATCTTGTTGTGTAGTTTTAAAATATCAACTCTTTTTATATATATTTTTTAATAAAGTGTTGTTAAAATATATATAAATGATGGATCTTATGAAATCAATTTACTAAAAACAAAACACGATTTTACCATACTTTATAAAATTATATCCTTATGAAAAACTATTCACCCTTATAATATGGGGCCGACCAAGGGCACAGAAATACCTCGCAAGATTCTAAAAATTTCGAAATGCCAGAAATTAGAATTCTTAGCGTTGGTGCTCGCTCCCTAAAGCCATTGACCATCAGTAATGGAGGAGAAATTACTAAAGGTGAGACAATAAAAGCAGGGGACTATTAAATTTTCTGGCTATAAGAGTTTATAGAAAAAATTCAGTTTAATAATCCCAACTTCGAGTGATTTACTTTTAAAATTCCAACGTTGATGTGTTTTTTTAAAAACTATGTGTTAGCATGTGATTGCTCTAAATTTTTTTTTATTTAAAAAAAAATAAAATAAAACCCATCCCAGCCACCCCCTCTTCCCCCCACCGTGAAACCCTAGCCCATCCCTAACCCCACTGGAAACCGACCGGCCGCCCCCCTCGTCCCTCCCCTGACCCCCCAAAACCATCCCTCCCTTCCCCCACCCTCGAAAACAATCCCCCTTCCTTTCCCCACTGCCAACATCGCCTGCCAAGCCGAAACGACCGGTTTGGGGGATGGGAAAGGGAGGAGGGACGGTTTCATAACACAACATTTGATAAACAAATGATAGAATAAGTGAGAATAAAGGGAATTTCATAACACAACATTTGATAAAAAATTCCTATCAAATATAATTCCCTACGCACGTAAGAAACTGTATTTGTACATGAATTAATGGAAATCAAATAGACGGTAAATTCACTAATAAATCTGAAAAATTAGAATCTGTATTGAAAATCCAACTTAACGGAACTACCCAACAAACAAATAATACAAAAGGCTCACAATTTGTACAAAAAACCCTCTAAAATAACACAAGTTATGAGGGTAGTTTAAACAGACTATAAATTACTTGAAAAAAAATTAAAAAAGAGACTAGAATTAGCAGTGTATCTTGGTCACACTGTTGCTTAATGTATAAACAAGGTTGAAACTTTTAAGCTTTGACAAGCTTCTAGAAGGGTAGAATCAATATGATTGTCACCGAAAATATTTGCCAAACTCTGCTTGAATGAATGTCTGAACTTGGAGAGGCTTTCTGCAGCTCTAGAAGGGTAGGACCAATATGTTTGTCACCTGATATACGAAGGTATGTGCAATGCTATTAGGCTAAAGATTTTATATGCCATTGTTTTTTAGTCCAAACGCGCAATAAAATAAAGTGCTAGATCACCAGCTGAATCAATCATTCTATCAACATATGGGAAAACATGATAAATAAGTGAACATAAAAACAGAAGTTTATTGTAAAAAGATGAGAAAGCATTTACTCATAATTCATTGTCCAAAAAAATGCAAAATGATAAAACCTGAAAATCATAGAATACCTAAATGCCTATAAACCATCTACTATCAGTATGCAGAAGCCAACTCCATTGTCCTTCATTCCGTAACAGATAATAGTACGCAATGCCACTGAATTTTTCATCCTTCATGTATAGCTTCTCGCATAAGCAATCCGAACATCTCATGTAGTCTTCTCAAGAAATGTCAATAGTTAGAATGTGGATGTGTTGCAATTAAGTTTTAAGTAATGTTACATAAGATTTGATGATCTTTCAAACGAATAGTTAGGCTTATCGGTTCAGGGGCGTAACCCACATGATTCAGAAGTGCCTGGCTCATACAAGGGGAGAAAAACACCTTAACAGTGTCAAAATTTTGCTGGTTCAAGATAAGTACAGTATACTGTAACAAGAAGGTGAAATCAATTCATAATGTTCTTCCTCTTTTCTAATCTGAACACTCATCTGATCCATAATTTCAAAACTGCTATACATGATCAGTTTCTATTCCAGCTCATATACCCTAGGGGCCAAGACCAACTGAGAATTGTCAAGTTTTCGAATATAAACAGCAAATATCACATGTAATTTCTCCTAGAAAACACAGCAGATTTCAATATTAGTTGTAAAGCCAAAATGATCAACACATACAAGCAGTATACAGCTTAAGCCTCCTGCTACAGATTTCACAAAGTAAAAAAAGCAAAAACATCATAAAGATCACAAATGACAAAGTAGCCTCAAAGGCTCACACAGCAATGTATATAATAATATTTAAATGGATGCCACACATGGAGATAGATGAAGCATTCCTATTTCTCAATCACGAGCATGCAACAATAAAAGAAAGGCCAACAATTCCATTCTATTTCCCTACCAAGTGATAGCAAGCAGTAGTTTTAAACTTGTAGTTGGAATATCTCTGATTGTATTCACGCTCTTTTGAAACCAGATGTGGCAAGTTTGTCTTCCATTATTCAATTTGAGCCTCGCAAGAACTTCTTCATCTTCCAATTGAGCAAGTATTCTAAATATAAGCAAAGCAGCTACAATCATTAGTTTGAGCCGAAAAAACAAAAGATAATCAAATTAAAAAAACAGAACATGCTTCTTAAAAAATTAATGTGCATTTCCCACATAATTAAACACCAAAAACATCCTATTTCTAACCCCCAAACTCCTAATAAGCAATCATCACCCCCATTCTACATTCTCCGAAATTCCCACCCAAATCATAATCAATAATTCTTAGAAAACGCATAAAATCTACATTATTTCAGCAGTAAATCAACACACATCCAAAGTCGAAAACACATCAAAATCTACCCCCGATTCCTTCCCAAAATATAAATAAATAAAGACTACCAGACACTTCAGATGGAAATGTAACAGGATATCAATATTAATGAATTGAATTTAAGCCTCTAAATATATACCTGTTACATGAGTTTCATCAATGTGATTTGTTTAAGCCTCTAACAGGATATCAACTCATGTAACACACGACAGATTAACAGATTTGAAGCCTCTAAATATATACCTCCAAGTTCTTTAAAATGAACATCAAACGCAATTAACAGAGAGAATTTAACTACAATAAAAAATAAAAAAAATAAAAAGGAAATTTAAAGTCTTCTGTCGGCGCTGCAGTAGCTGGCTTTCGGCCTGCCCGCGGCGGCAACGGCAGTGAAAGGACATGTCAGTTGGGGTCGGGTAATGAATTATTTCATGGTAAGATGTTACCATCATTTATCAAAAAAAGACAATACTTGTATATATGATGCTTCTTGGTACTATAGCACTGTATGTTGGCCAGAGTGTTACTTAATTTAATGGAACTTTCTAGCTTTAACAAGCTTCTACTTGGTACAATACTTGTTCATGTGCAGAAAACCCTCACAATTGAGAAGGGCTTTAGCATATTATAGGTTGATACAATACTTGTTTGATACCACTGTGACTTGTTCTTTTTAATGCTTCTTTAGCTAAAGGACAAGGCTTGGGCCTTTACTGTTAGAGAAAATGGTTGATAAGAAGTAATTACCAAATTAAAGAACAATTAAGAATCCGATCGTTTTAGTGACTCAATCAAGTAAATTTATTATCTGGAATCTGATTAAACACTTGCAGACATTGAAATCGGTCCAAAGTAACTTGCCTAACCAAAGCACGAGAGCTGCCACAAACTCGTGCAGATGTCTAATGCCAGTATGCCACCATATAATATATGTTGCTTCGTACTATAACTGTGTATCTTGCTCACCCAATTGCTTTTATTTGATATGTCTGTGGTGTAACTAAGAGATTATGCCGGGGTTGTATTTATCTGCAAATTACATGCCACCTCTGTAATCCTTGAATGAAAGTCAACAACTAGATTGAGCGATGGAGCGCCTGATAATTAAAATTACGAGCAATTTTAATAGGGGATTTTTATTTTTTACGTTACTTTCCAGTTTTCTTGTGTATACTTGCAACTCAAGTGCTAGCTAGATCATCAGGAGAAATTACTCTAGGAGAGATTGAAATGACAAAAAATAAATATTCTTAGCACTAGTGCTTCCTAAAGCTATTGATCGTCAATAGTATAGTGGAAATTACTAAACGTGTCGAGCAAAAGCAGAAATCCTGGTTGCTATTGAACAACAACCAGATGAAAAGTCAAAAACAGATGAAATGCATATACATTGACAGTGAAAAGCAAATCCTCAATTTATGTCTCTCTAGTAATAAAAGGCGCATCTTGATGACTTGTCTCTGAATCAAAAATGAAAAATGCCAACAATTTAAAGCAATAACAAACCTTGAAGTTGTAACATATAGAGTGGTCTCAAGTATATTGGCTAAACAAAGTTGCTATCAAGCTCAAACAGAGAAATGCCAATTTATGCTTATCTGATGCTTCTTGGTACTATAGCGTAACTAAAACACTCTGCCCGGGATCTGATCACTTTGCAACTATGAAATGACATTAATCCTTGGATAAATGTCTGAACGTGGACAAATTTTCTGCAGCTCTAGAAGTGTAGAACCAATGATGTTTGTCACCTGATATAAGAGAGTATGTGCAATGCTATTAGGCAAAGGATTATATGCTATTGCTTCTAGCTTTCTACAAGTTTCTAGTGCAAACATGAGATGAAAAATTGTACAAATCATCTCATTGCTTAAAAGAATAAAAAAAAAAAAAAAGATGATACTTGAAAATTATAAAATACCTCGTTGACTATAAATCACCTACTAGCAGTATGTAGAAGTCAAATTCATTGCCCTTCCCTTACAGATACTCCGCAATAGGTTAATACAATACTTTGTTTGGTGCAGCTGTGAAATTTTCATCCTTAATGTATATCTTCTATTATAGTCATTGGCTACGAGTCTATGACTGATGATTAACTATAATAGCATAAAAAGGAGTAAAATTTACAACTTTGAAAGTGATTGTTTATTTTACAAAAGTTTACACAGTACATGACACAGAAGAAGTATCTTCTTACCAGTTATAAAAAGTGAAGAGCATACAATATCAGCAAAAATGAGTTTTTTTTTTTTTTTTTTTTTTTTTTTTGAACTATGCAAGAATGAGTATCGACAAAGTTAAGTGAACTAACAAGCATTATTCATGGAATACTAAGTTGGATACATGAATTAACACTACATTTCAGTTGGTGCTGAATAACTCAAAAGATTTTCGGAGGTTGAAATCATCAGTAGCCGAAAAAATGGGTAATGGTAGGAAAACAAACGGAACCAGCAGGAAGTTTTATCAACAGAGCAAAGAAAGAAGAGTATTAGTACTTAATAAGCTATGAGTGATTATACATCAGAATATACTAGTTTGGGATGATCAAGACAATGAATTAGCCAAGAGATTTTTGTAATTTGAGATAACTCTGCAATAACACATGCCTAAAGAAGAAAACCTGGTTGTTATTGAACTACTAGAAGTCAAGAACAGATGAATGGCACTTTAATTGTGATTAAAAAAAAATCCTTTAATTTTCTGGTAGACTGAAGAATATGTTACTCGAGTCCTTGAGGTATCCTTTAAACTAGAAGTACGGAATTGAAAGAGCAAAGGAATAAGTTCAGCAATAGAAGTTAGACACGAATAATGACAAGATAGCCAAAGAAATAACCCCAAAAATCTAAACCATAAACACATGCCATGAGTTGAAATTTCTATCAGGTAACGCAGTTTTTCAGATCACCATCAGCAGCACTAGAAATTACATCTTAAATTAAAAATAAATTGAAAGCAAAGGCAAGCTTAATTTTTTAGTACCTTAAAATTGTAGATGTTACTACTGTTAGGCTTTTCAGTTGCATGAGTTCTTAGCACCATAATATGAGCAAACAGTTGCATTTGAAGGTCATGTACCTGCTATAACAATATATATCAGAACATTGCACATTTATTCTATAATAACAGCTTCAAGATAGTAAAAATATTATTATTTGTATTTCATCTGAAAAGGTAAATTTGTAACAATCAAGTTAAATACATAGAAAAGGTATCTACAACTACAATATCCATTAGTTTCCACAATGACACAAAATTGAAATCTGATTTGAAGTTAAATTGTAGTATGTCATGAAAGATATGTAAATATGTACACCTAATTAGTTGATCAAGTTTTCCCTCCCGCGATTACTATTTGCAATATTTAGGAAAAGCAACATCGTGATAATGTTCCTTCACTTTTCTAGAACTCTATACTAATTATCTGTTTGAGAATGCATAATACAAGGGGAAATTCCCTGTTTCTCATATTGAGAAACGAAATTTGTTTCTCACATGGCATTTTCGTGAATAAATCAACAACTTTTTCATTATTGTGGGCTCCACAATTGAATAAAGTTGAATAAAGTTGTTGGTTTATTTACGAAAATGTCATGTGAGAAACAAATTATATTTCTCACTATGAGAAACTGGGGCATCCCCACTAAAAGTAGGCAAAAAGGTCAGGCAATATAAATGTACTAATGTTCTGGTCTATAGATGTTACATGGTCTTAGAATTCCTAAACAAAGTATCGCTTAACGAATACAACAACCAAGTTTCAACAGCATGTAATTATGCTGAAATATCAAGATCAGCTAGTTTATGTATCAATTAAGCCAGTGCACGGAAAACCTGAAAATAATAATCAGCTAAAGAATATGTCCTTAAAAGAAAATACCTTTATATATCTAAATTTACAGATCCATTGCATAAAAAATTTGTTATTCCCAATAAAAAAAAAAAGAAAAAAGAAAAAAACAATTAAAATATATTCTATGACTGAATGATTGATTAAACTCAAAACTGACAACAATTGTAACATAAAACGCATATACAATTAGCTTGAATTATGATTTTTTGCTTGAGTGAAGTTTTATTGATTTCTAGGATTGGTGTGTTTTAAGAAAAACCTTCATATATCAATGAGTGAATGATTGGTTAGAATTAGACTGAAAAGAGACAAAAATTGCAAAGTAAAATGCATAAATTAGCCTGAGAAGGTTGAATTCATGCTAACCAGTTTATAATCTGTTGTTTGAGTGAAGTTCCATTGATTGTTGAGTGTTGTATCAACAAGCTGTCAGAAGTGAAATATATGAAAATGTAAGTAAATGTAAAAAATGAAACATGTATGCTAATGTAAAACTTACTTGTTTCGGCTGAGCTTGGTAGACTTCCACACAGAGGCACCGAGTATCGTCCATTCTTTGTTTCTATAAGGCCATCGGGATCACTTGTCAATTGTTGTTCTATCATATCACACTCTTTAATTTGGACACGAATGTGTGGAGGAAGGCCATTGTCACCAAAGGATTCCAATTTGGGGCAAGAATTGATATCCATATAGCGTAGTCTGGGAAGAGTGGAACAACATATTGTTTTCAAATTTTGAAAACTCTTGATAGTTAACCGAAACAAGGAAGAGGGAAAGTCAGGATAGCTAATGGACTCTAGTGTATCAACACAGCTGCCTACATTTTCAAGTATTAGAAATTCAAGAGAAGTAAGAAGGTGCAATCCCCACTCTTTTATTGGTTTGTCTATCTTGGTTCCTCTGATTTCCAGATCCGTTAGGTTTGTGGGTAAACCTCCTTCGGGAAAGTTGTGTAATTCTGGGCAATCATCAACAGAAAGAATAGTGAGGTTTGGAAGGGTGTTGCCATTGAATGATATGGTTTTAAAATTTTGGAAACTCTTGATTGCTAACCAAGACAAGGAAGAATGGAGAGAAAGGTGTTGGTACGGAATACACTCTACTGAGTCTGTGGAGCTGCCTACATTTTTTGGCATAAGAATGTCATGGTAATGAAGGAGTTGCAATTCCCACTCTGATACAGCCTGCTTTATGTTCACTTCTACAATTTTAAGTGATGTCAGGTTTCTGGGTAAACCACCTTCTGCTAAGCTATGGATTTTAGGGCAATTTTTAATTATTAACCTCTGGAGGGAGGTAATATTGTGCAATTCACCAGGAAGCTTTTCCATATTTTCGCATTCATTTAAGCGAAGACGTTGTAAAGCTGGGAGAAGCAGGCTTTGCTGTAATGATATTAGACTTGGGCATCTTTGTATACTCAATTCGGTGAGAAGAGGAAGTTCCAATGCAGCCTTCGAGGAGACTCCTATGCTTTCTTCACTCCTTAGGCCTTTCTCATTGTCACTTCCACGAGACAACTTCGTAGATTGTTCATCAAATTCTACATACCCTAGTTTCTCGCAATTATCAATACTCAGCGATTTTAGAGTCAAGGGAATTTGACCAATAGAGACCATAGATTTGCACTCTTTAACAATGACTTTCTCAAGATGAGAAGTTGAGGAAGACGAATTCTTCAATTCCAAGGATTGTAGCTGCTCGACTCCATAGATTTCCAACCTTCTAATAGAAGGCAAATGAGGAGGTAGATCACCTTGTAATGACGGACAATCAATAATAGAGAGCTCTTCAAGGTTGGGGAATGCCTTGTTGTTGTCAACTACTGGGTGCACCCATTTCTCCCAGGATTTCACACTCCAAACACCTAGAGACTTCAAAGATGGAAAAGTAAGAGTTGAGCAATTCCCATAAAATTCAAGACCAACCTCCTTAATACCATTCATATCATAAATCAGAAGACTCTTCAATGAGGGTAGATTCCCCAATGGAGGCAACCATTCGCATTTGTGACACTTTTTCAACTGTATGTCCACCATATTAATGAAAGAGGAATCTCCCAACCAACTTGGGAATGTCAGGCCCATGTACCCATCCAACTCACACTCTTTGATGGAAGTGTGAGGCCGCAACTTCTCAAGCACATCTCTCCTTGTCTTGTCATCGACCTCATCACTACAAGTTCCCCATTCTAAACTCAACCCATCTAGATGCTCTTTCTTACACAACTGGGCTTCCTCTGCGTCCTCAACCTCTGTCACATTTTCTAGCCCGGATTTGATTATTAATCTTCCACGGAGCTGATTCAACTTCCCCAACTCCCTTATCTTGGACCCACCTCCACCTGCCAACACAAATGTTTCCAGAGTCTGCAAGTTTGTTAATTTCCCGATTCCAAGCGGCATCTCCTTTAAAAAGGAATCATTAATATACAAATGGCGAAGTTTCCCAAGCGATTCAATACATGGAACCTTCTCAAGATCAAAACATCTTTTCAAGCAAAGTGTTTGGAGATTCCAAAGATCGTTGATTGAAAGTGGCAACTCTTTTATTCTTCTAAATTCGAGACTAAGGTAGCGCAAGTGCTTTAAATCACCAATACATTCTGGCAAAGCTTCAATTTCATCCGAATATAGAAATAGAGTGCGTATGTAACGGATTTTGTTGAAGAAATCAGAATAGTCCATTTTCAAACCATATTTGCATAGTAAAGTACGCAACTGAGAAGCCATAATTTGATTTCCCAAGGTTTGAACATGCTTGGTGATAAACAAATGGCGAGTTCTTCTGAAATCCATTTGTGTATCCGTGCCATCCAGTATGTTGCATAGGTTACCTGCAGCAAATTGAGCCACATCATGGATGAGGTCATGCATGATGAACATTCCATGTCCATATGGACTTTTTTCAAATAATGACCTTGATACCAAATCATTGAAGTAATCATGGCCTATATCTTCCATTCTTTCATTTGTTGTGTTGTCTGGTAGGAAGCCCTGAGCCATCCACAGTCGGATAATCTCCATCTCCTTGAATTGGTAATCTTTAGGAAATACGGAACAATAAGCAAATAAACACTTCAGAAGAGAAGGCAGATGATGATAACTCAACCATAGAACAGGCAAAACTTCACACGTCTTGCTCCAAATATTGCTATCTATTATCCTTTGGCGCTGACTCTTCTCCACCGTCTTTCGTAGCAGACCACCAAGAGCTTTTGCAGCCAAAGGCAATCCATCGCATTTGCGGATAATATCATCCCGCCTCTCAGCAAGGTCTGAATGCATAGTATTAACATGCTGCTGAAATATACTCCAACAATACTCACCAGACAAACGTTCTAAATGGATGATGGTGTTGGGACAAAGATTATTCATCACCCTTGCAGTGACCTCCTTTCTGGTTGTGACGATGACTCTGCTTCCTCGTGGTGCACCAAGAAAAGGTATTTGTAGCTGGTTCCACTCCTCATAATTCTCACTCCAAACATCATCAAGAACAATTAAGAATTTATTGTCCTTTAGCACTTGCTGCAATTTTTCTTGTGCTTGATTCAGGTTGCTACAATCAAAATTGCCTTGGGTGGCCGAGTTGATGATATCGTTTGTTATGCGTTTGGCATCAAACACGTCTGATATGCACACCCATGCCTTAAGAGCAAAGTGAGTCTTCACCTCCTTATCATTGTAGACATACTGAGCAAGAGTAGTCTTCCCAATGCCTCCCATTCCAACGATAGGGATCACGACATAATTCTCATAACTTGGTTTATCTTCCAACAATTGACAGATGATATCTTTTTTCCTACCATTCCTCCCGTAAACATGAGGCTCACTTATCAAAGAAGAGGTCTCTGGCGTCTTTCGTTGCTGCACCTCTACTGCGTATGTTGGTAGCCTCAAGTTGTTGGATATGAGACCCAAAGTCGGAACCCGGGTTTGAATCTTGTTCAAGGCATTACTTATCTCAGCAATCCTTGATGAAAAGTCTGGACCAGAGTATCCGATTTGCCGGGTAGTACTACATCCACACGCCAAAACACTGCCAACCTGATTGATGCAAATGATGCGTTTAGACAATGCTAAAATTCTATAACTAATTTATTCAAGAAAAAAAGCAAATCGACTATTAAAACTAAACTTGTATTAAAATATGATAGAAATCCTTTGTTTTCTATGCATAAACAAATTATTTACTCTCTCCATGTTTATTTTTTAGTTTATATACTTTTCTATTTCACGGAAACCAAAAATCTGTACTAATATTTAATAGCAAGAATTTTTGCAAACAATATACATTGACACGTGTCTCACTCTTATTGTTACACTTTCATTTTTATTTTTTTCATTTAATTTTTTGTTCTTTCATTTTCAGAATCTTATTTCACTTAAATGTCACTTGTATTTTGTGATCCTCTTCACCTACATGAAGTTAGTTTCTTTCAAAAATATAATTAATTGTTCACTTACGTCTCTTGGTTCTATCAATTTCTTATATAGCAGAAGATAGTTGAGTCAAATATTATAAACACCTCTTTATATATCTTTTAACGTGGAAAAATAAAAAATTGAAAAATATTAAACAACATCACTAATTTTACTACTAATCTTTCATTATTTTGCTAATATCTTTGTATTGATAGACATATTTGGCTTAATTCCAATTAAAGAGCAATATCAATATACAATTGAACAACATGTCATATTCCCTCCGTATCTAATAAGTGTTACACTCACTAAACGCGGCTATATTTTAATAAGTGTTACACTCACTAAGTGCGGTTATATTTTAATAAGTGTTATACTTCTTTTTTTTTGACAAAAAATTACGTTTTTAATATTATATATTTATCTTTTCATGGTCCCGATCTAAACCCATTTCTACTTCTTTTTTTTTAGAAAAAATACAATTTAATAATCCTAACTTTGCCAAATTTACTTAAAATAATCCAACTATCAATTATTTTGCAATAATCCTAATTATCACCAGAGTTTTTTTGTACAATCCCAAACTGGTAAAAAAAAGTCAACTACCCTTTACTCTAGATTACCTAACACGTGTCAACACGTTATTAGTCCAAAAATTAAATAAAAAATAAAAGGAAAATGAAAGGGAAAAAAAAAAAGAAAAAAAAATTAAAAATCTAAACATCCAGCCACATAAGCACCAGTGGTGGCCCTTGCCGGATTTTTCCACCAAACCACTCTAACACCTAAAATCTGTCCCCCCACCTCAACCACACCTTAGAAACCGCACCGCCCTTCCAACGCCGCCACGATACCATTCCTATCCCCAACCCAAACCCCAAAATAGACCCCCTCCCTTCCTACACCACTGAAATCGGCATCCCCTCCCTTCCCATACCACCGAAACCAGCCCTCCCTCCTTTCCCCCAACCCAGAAACTGACTCCCTCCCTTCCCCCACCTTCAAACTAGGTCCCAACGGCTACGATTTCGGGGCTAGCTAGGTTGCAGTGGGGTAGTCTTGCGGGATGGGGGAAGGGAGGAACGAGAAATGGTGGTGGGCGCCGGAAATCTGAGTTGGAAATTCGGCTGGGCTGGGGAGGTCGTGGCCACCGGTTGTGGTCATGGCAGGCTTGGTGTTTTGAATATTTATTTTTTTAAAATCTTCTTTTCTTAAACAAGCGACACGTGGCATTTTTTTTTTTTTTTTTAAGTTGATGTTATTGTAGAATAATCAAAGGTTGGGATATTTAAAGTAAATTGGGCAAATTCGAAATTATTGAAGTGTATTTTTTTTTTTTTATTATTACTCCAATATTATATTTTTCCTCTCACATTTATTGCTTTTCAATAAATTATTAAGCATTAACCCCATTATATTTCATTTACAATTTTTTAATACTCCAACTACCCTCACTTATCTCTTATTTTTATAAAGTTAATTAAATTACTTAAAGCTACGTATCGTTCGATCCGAAGTCTAATAAGACCCATATATTCCGTAACTAAGTATTATTAGTTCACCTCCATTTTTTTTTTTTTTAAAAAGTGAGCTTAATAAAACATAGTTCACTTTATTTTTAGTTCATCTTTTTTTTTTTTCTTTTTTCATAAAAAATATAAATCTAGATGAGATCATCGTATTATATGCGATTTTCATTGCTAAATATCTTTAATTTTGAAAGTTATCAATTAATAAAATACACTCTTACGAATATAACAAGACCTCCACTTAATACAATTTTTATTTAGATAAAATGAGACAATCAGATCAGATCAGCAACTATAAATTGAATTAAAAAAGCTCTAAATCACAAAATGAAGTCAAAGTGGGTTAACACAGTCAAAACATGTTAGCCCGCTAAAAGAAGTGGATTAAGTTTAATTTATGCACATTATTTAGCACTACTATATCCTACTCTACATGTATCTACAAAAGTGTACGAGTAACACTTTGAATTAAAGAGCAAATATATACTTTAGAAAATGCAATGGAAAAGTCGATAGAAATAGAAGTACAAACCATATTATGGAAGGAAGTTGAAAGACATCCACGAGCATTCTTCTTGAAATGATGAGCATCAAAATCACCATTATTACCCTGATTCATTTTCAAGGCTTCAAGGGCAAAGTCGTCCAAAAGATCCTCCAAATCAAAAGCCAAATCTTGAAGGTTCTCCAGCCATAATCTGATTGCAGCTCCGTGTTGCTCATCACATTGCTTCCGTTCAGCATCGCTCAACACCGCTTCAATCATCTCCAGCTCATTCTTCCAATCTTCGATATTGATTTTATTTTTAGAATTCTTTCCTTTGTTGAGCAGCTTCATGAACTGCTTCACTCCTTCGGACACCAGTTTATCCAACACTTCTTTAAACATTGCTGAAACTACCATCTCTACAACTGCCATACTTGCTTTTCTTCTTTTCTTTCTTTTTTTTTTTTTTTTTTTTTTTTTTTTTTTTTTTTGAGAAATCAAGTTAAAAACAGCAGAAAGATAATATAGATGAGAATAGTTGGAAATACAGAAAACGTGTGATCGTGAATGAAATGTGGAAAGAAGTGGATAAGTGAATTATTATTTGATGTAAAATGTGGGTACTCACAAGGGCCAATTACTTGTATTACTTTATGTACGAGTATCTTGGAAAAATTTCCAAAGTAAGCGTGTATTTAAAAACAATTTTTTAAATTAGACGCGTGGCAAAACTATTTATCAAATTAAGCTTTCAGGGTAAAACGCCAATTAGGCTGGCGTTTTTGTCCTGGCCATTTTTTTAAGAAAAATTCAATGTAGGCAAAAGCGCCATCCAAGGTGGCGTTTTTATCCTGACTGAAATTTTAAAAAAAAATTGGCCAAGGTAAAAACGCCAGCCTGGTTGGCGTTTTACTCTCAGCCATAAAGCGCCAGCCTGGTTGGCGTTTTTCCTACAACACCCAGTCTGCAAACTGCAGGCGCCACACCAGCCACAAACACAGCAGCAACAGCATCAACAACAACAATAAAAGCAACAACAACAACAATAATAACAACAACCACAACATCAGCAACAACAACCAGTTCAATGAAAAGAATGAATGCGTATGGTGAAGTTGATAATAGACAAAAGTCAGTAAAATTGATAATATTTGTTTGGATACAACTTACTAGAGAATCCGATTACAACAAACTAACAAAAGAATTTCTAAGATCCTGATTCATCTATTCGACGTAATTGCTATCTATCAACTCGCGGTCTCCGACGACGATAGTACTGAGATACCGTTGTGAAAGGATCTCGGGCAGAAGTCTAGGGAGGAGTCTATTGGCTGGATTATGGTCCCTCCTGTGATGAGTATGGCGCAGACATGGGTATCGCGAAATCCTCCTGAATGTCAAAAAACTCCGAGGACGCTGTAGGGGACGTGTAAGTCTGTCCCCTACTATTCTCTCCTACCCACGTTTTGAACGCTGGTGTGATTGGTCCCGCCCCTGGATAAGATGACCATGACCATGTTTCTGTAAGCTACTCACAGTCATTGCCTGAATTTCATCTATCTGCGGTATGGTGGGATATGATATGCTCTAGACTCCTAGTGCATCATGTATAGCAAGCATATCAAACGCTTGCATAAGTTAATAGTCAGTCAATTTAATAATTCCAGAAATTGTAAATTGATAAATAATAAAAAAAATCCATCTAAAACTCACATATCCACTGATGTCTCCAAAGCTGGCTGATAATGAGTTGAGGGTGGGGTGTAGTTAGGGTTGATGAAGCGTCGGGTAATGCTCCTGTTGTAACACCCCAATAATTCTCTATTAAAACCTGTAAATACCTTTAACAATCTGAAAGAGAATTACTAACGTACTACCGCCACGTGTTCAAACGTTAAGGCTAGTTCAGAATTTAGCAGCGGAAAAAATAACTCAGTTATAAATAAGTTTCAAATCCAATAATCAAAACCAAAATTTAGTCCTATAAGTTGGAACCATTAAGGCCCTTATTCAAAACCCAATAAAATTAGTAAATAAATCAAACCATAGTTAAATTAAATCCAAACTTATGAAACGAAATAAACTGTGGAAATATCTAACACTACATTCCAAATCCCACCACCTTGATGCAATTTCTTATTACGTAAAAACATGTGATTAATATGCTCCCCAATATTACAAGTGTAAAAATTGGATCATTACAGGGTCATTGAAGGGCGAAGGCCATGACCAAGAAAAAGACACACAAAAGCACGCAATCAGCAACGCTGAGTACATACAAGATGCCAAATATAAAGAGTCCCTAGAATGTTACTAAAATCAATCGGCAAACCCAATTTAATTATTGACTATAACACATGCCTCAACTACTAACATTACTAAGACTTCACTTATTACTAACAATAATTCATTTCATTCATTGATTAGATTAAGCAATAGACAAGATTGTCTCCCCATGCTCTATTTCGGAACATCAATAAAAGAAAAACCCCATGCCTCCTTTCGTAAACATCAATAAACATCCAATGACAGACGGGCACAACTCCGTGACCATAACTAGTATAAGATCTCATCTAACTCCTTATAATTTTAAAAAGCATTTGTAAACAAGAGGCTCGTAGATCAGACGGCCTCTAGAAAGTACACGGCTAATACCCCGTGAACCCCAACCCCTGATTGTCAATACTCTAGATGTGCACAAATCCATAGTTTTATTGCTCATCCATCTTGCACTTTACATGATTTACAAGTTTAAACTTGGTGATGACTTAAATGCAAAACAATACAACCAATCATACATCAATTCTTCAAACAATTCAAGTTTCCAATTCAATTCTTAATTTATTAGTGACAAACAATACTTTTTATTAAATCCTTTAACTACCTCGGTGTATAAACACCTTAAGTGCATAAGACACCTCAAATCATTAACCTCGTCTCATAAGACTTTAATTCTCCCTTTACTCATTCCAATTCATATGCATGAACGAGTAATACGATAATTCATTTCACGTATTTATGTACCTTAGCCTCTTAGCTCATCTTGCAAGTTATTGCATAATTAAGTTACACTTACAAGAAAAAAAATACACATTTCTCATACATGAATCAAACCAATCATCAGATTAATCATCAATCAAACTCACTACCAAACAATTTCATCCAATCTACAAGTTTCCTAACATGATTCTAAGTTTTCCCAGTTCTTAATCATGCTCCTAAAGTCAAGGTTTTCGTATCCTTGTACATACCTTGAGTAAATGAGTTGGTTAGCCACTTTAGGAACAAGAAATTTCCTTCTACAAAGTCCTCTCCTAACCCAAACTATAATAATTCAATCAATACCCAAGCAATAATTTACAGCAATACTAACTTACTTTAAAACCTTCAAAATTCAATTAAACAACTCTTTAAAACCTTCCCTTTAATTAAAATCAAAAGGTTATATATAGTTCTTTAAGTTTCCTTCATAATAACCTTGAAATACATACTTATTCATGAAATTACAGCTAGTTTAGAGCTTTATAAAAATCTGAAAAATTTATTTTACACATGAAATCTTAAAATTATAGAAATCTTTATCACTACATACATTATATAGGAAGTTAGTACTTAGTAGAATTTAAACCCAAAAATACCTCAATTCAATGTAATTAAAGACTCCAAAAACAATAACCAAAAATCGAAAAATTTATTCTTGCAATTAAACTTTATAATCATAAAATAACCACAACCTTTGTTTAATGAAATTAGAAATTTGAAACACATAAAATAAATACAATTTAAACCCAAGATTAAAACTTCAATTATTTAAAAATTTATTTTAAACATTAAACCTTTATTAAAAATCAAAAACTGCCCGAAAACCATATTTAGAGGCTGAATTTGGCCACCAAAGGGTGGTGCACAGGACCAAAGATAGTGAGTTTTGATTAAAACGCCGTTTACAAACGAAAAACACTAATTTTTTTTTTTATAAAAATCGGACGAGTTAGATCTAAACGTGATTAAAACGTGATAAAAAAAAATAAAACGGAGATCATAAGTTGATTACGGAAAGCTAAAAATTTATTTTTATGCTTAATTAATCATTAGGAATTCAATAGGAACAAAAATCCCAAATTAATTGATCATTAGAACCCTAAAATCCCAATTAAACTAAATTAAAACCCTAGGTTTAAAATTACAAAATCTGAAAATTAAACAGCAATTATAACCTGAAACTATTAGTTTAAACTAGGGGTGAGCATAGGTCGGTACCTGTATCGTTAACACTATCGGTTCGGGTACTCGATAATCAATAACACTAAAAATGATATCCATTACCCGAACCAATAAGTTCGGGTACCCGAATTTCGGGTACCTGGATTTTCGGATTGGTTATCGGGTACCTAATATGATATCCAATAATAAAAATTAGACTTTATAATATAGTTATTATGATATCATTCAACACTAATCAACAATAATACCACATAATCATGACCAAATTACTAATAATTACCAATCATATAAATTATGAAGTGATTACGAAGTAAAGTAAGAGTTCAAATTTTGGATAAATAGATTTAAGTAGGAAAAAAAAGAAAAAATTGCTTATCGGATCGGATCGGATTGAATAACCGTTAATTTTAAAATGATACCCAATAACCGTGGGATTTGTTAAACATCGCCCACAGATTTCTACATAATACCTACAATTTTTTTTAGCTTGACACTTTTGCCCTTTTTTCAAATTTTTACTGAAAACGTAATTTTCTCTCTCGAAAAATGTGGAGCCAAACTGGATCGCCGAGGGATGACGAAGAGCCGAGGGACACCGGAGAGTCGTCATCGTCGCCGGAAAGCGAGGTACTTTTTAGTTAGTATTGATGGCTTTTATACCTTTGATATATGGAGAAATTGGGCCTTAGCCCAATTGGCTTGCCTTGAGGACCGATCTTTGACTTTAGCACATTTGGAGAGTTGAACCTTGACCTTGGGCTTTTAATTGGATCATTTAATGACTAGGCCCGATTGGACTAAATTGGACCCAAACACTTGTTTTGTTCAATTCAGTGTTTTCAGCCTCTTTTTTCAATGGAATAAACTCTTCCAAAACTGGTTGATGAGCATTTCTTGTTTTGTATTGTGATGAGGTGAAAACAATGGGACCTTGTTGAAGGTCTGATGAGGTGAAGAAGACTGGATTCGGTCCAAGTGATGTTGGGCCGAAGGTTTCCTGCACAGTAAACACACGTAAACTAGCCTCGGGGGTGTTGCCGAGGAAGGCCCCTCCGATGCTAAAGTCAGTACAGTGTGTAGAGAGAGAACACTATGCAAGATAATTAATTGCTTGAGGCTTTGTTGAATTAATGTGTGTATGTCATACAAAATGTAATATTGATGGCTTTTATACCTTTGATATATGGAGAAATTGGGCCTTAGCCCAATTGGCTTGCCTTGAGGACCGATCTTTGACTTTAGCATATTTGGAGAGTTGAACCTTGACCTTGGGCTTTTAATTGGATCATTTAATGACTAGGCCCGATTGGACTAAATTGGACCCAAACAACTTGCCCCCCAGACCCGATTTGGAAGGATGACGGGTCGG